AGAGCTCATTCGAGAGCAGTGTTCCATAGGTTGTTAATACTGCAATAAAGATAACTTTCTTTACTGTGGACTGCTAGGAGTCTTTCCTGTGTTCGTGAGTACTGCGGGTTGCTAAGCAAAGATATGGTTATATAGCTTTCCCAAACTAAGGAAATACTTTTTTCCTGGACCTATTAACAGTAGTCAGTGCTTCTTCCAACACACTTGTGAATCACTGAGTTAGAGTATCCCCTATTACTCCCGTGATATCCCACATCAAGATGATTTTGGACAACATGAACTAAGTTGGACCTGGTAATTCTCCACCCATCAGTTACCTGTGGATCTCTATTTTCTAAACTGCTTATAGTTTGCTCTTTTGTGTGTGATTTATCTTGTTAGTAGTGAAAATAAGATGAATATAGATACTTTTTTTTATGAGACGAGGCAGTCAAAATTATGTGGGAGAAGTGGAAAACAAAATTGTGTAGGACAAGTTTAGTTAAAGATTGAAATGCTTTTATTGTTGGAATATCCATGTATCTTATATATTAATATTACCAAATTGAAAAAAGAAATATATGGGTATACTATTGATACCAAGATACTTTTAACTTAAAAATGCAAATAAAATAAAATTTATGTAACAACAAAGTTAAGATAAAACTTTTGAAATAGGCTAAGACATTCTAGGCAAAGTCCCCTGTTTACCAAATTTCTCCTGTTTATCTCAGTTTTTACCCTAACACTGTTCCTGCTCATAGCAAGCCAAAAAATGAGGCAGTGTGGTTTATAATATGAAAAACATGTATTGCAAGTGAGTCATAAAGTGGAAAAATGGCTACTTGGTCAGTAGCCACATAAATTTTGGAGGAAATATATTTTCTACAGGAATGATTTATTACAGGAATAGCAAGTATTTATTAAAAGCATTAAAATGGTGAAAAAGTGACACTTAGGCAGTATACAGATTCATCACTCAGAAGTATAACACATATCAAATACAAATTTATTTTGAAACTAACCAGTTTTAATTACTTTTAGGTAAAGGACAAAAATATGAAACAGATTCAGTGAAACAGAAACAGTAATTTCTCATTCATGCAGACACCACTTTTTTTTTTATTGTATATGGCCTACCAATTATTGAGAGTGAACCTCCCGCTTACATTCATCTATTCACCAATTCATAAATCTTTTACTCTTCTAAGAGGCATTTTGTTGGAATGTATTTACTTTCCTTTGTAACATCTGCTCCCCAGTTGTATATTTGTTTCCTTAAAGCCTAACAGTGGGATTCAGAGGCATGCTATCATTTTGAGTCTTCCTGCAAGAGGGAAAGAGCAGCAGCCGCTTCGTTTCCTGGAAACTCTTTCCAGAAGCCAGGGAGTCTGGGGAATTTTCCAGACTGACTTAAGGAGACAGTGGACTAAATCTGCCCCCACCTGTCCCTATGTCTACAAGTTAATATGGCCTGAAAGGTGGAGAATAAGAAGGGAAACTCTCCCTACTCCTCCTCAACCCACCATCTCTTAGCTACTAGTCTTCAGCATTCCATAAATCACTTAAGAGAGAAGAGGGGAGATTGTGATGGGCAGTTTTGTCCTTCATTCAGTAGTGACAGCAGTAAGCACAAGCTGAGTATACTACAACAAGCACTTAGAACAGGACCTGGTACACAGTGCAATATAAATATCTGTTCAATAAAATATTATCACACGTTCTTCAGAAGCACTTTTTAAAAGGTTGCAATGTACCATTGGGTGGATATAGCATACTTTACCTAGCCATTCTGCTATCATTATTTCAGTTTGTCAGTATTAAAAAAAAAGAGATTTAATGAACACATACATACTTTTCTTTCTAATTTGTGTGCGTTTTTACTGTGCATTTACATGGTTTTATTAGCTACAGCCTGTACCTTTTGGGAGTTATTGAAGCTTCTGAGTGGCGTGGTTCTTACTTCAGAGGAGCATGGCTAACTGCCACTTCACTGCTGACTGGGAAGGGAATGTTTTTCCTAATGTCCTCATTTCATATCCTTACAGCTCAAGGCAACAGAGGTAGTCTATAAGAGAGTATAACTCCCTTAACCTGAATATCTTATACTTTTCCCTTAAATGTAGGTATTATGTGTATTTAATACTATCATGGTACCATTCCCCTAAACTGAATATATCATAATATTATGTCGAAGCAGGGACACCTTCTAGAAGCTAGAAACATCTAGGAGACAATTTTTTTTTTTTTTTTGGTGTAAACCTTCTCTACACTTCAAACAGCACGCTGGACATGAGCACAGAGCATTTCCTGAAGCTTAATAATCATCTAAGTTTAATGCTGGCCTTCAGCAGTCGCATGATTAACACTTCCAAGCAGGTCATTAATCTCTAGGAAATACTCAGTATTTTGATTGCTGTTTGCTTAATTGAAGAGGTGAGGTGAATAATTTAGTAAAGGACGACTACCTGAATTTGAACAAAAGGACTTTTTCTAACATGCACAGCGGCACCCCCTAGTGAGCACACTTGATAAATGTAAAAAAGTTAATGAAGATTTTGGAAATGTAAGTTTTTTTAATAGGTTTGTCATAGGTTTTAATTAGCAAAACAAAGTATCTTTTTGTAAAGGAGAAAAATAGTATATTTTCAGAATGTGGAAAAATTCAGATCTAAAGTAGCTGACTTTACAAATATCTGAATTCTCATTTTATAATATAAAATTTAACATTGTAACACTGAAAATTTTTTATTTTAATAAGGAAACTCTTTTGTTTTTTCAGGTCAGAAAGGATTCTTTGTTTGAAATCATTTCTTTCCCAGCAAAGACTGCTTTAACTAGCATAATGTATGCTTCATATGCAGCACTGATTTATTTGGTAAGTTGAGAAAATTATTAGAATCTAGAAATAAGTACACTTACTTTATGCAATGTTAAAGATATACTATATAGTCCATTCATAAACTAAGGTACTAGCTTCTTTATTTTTTCTTAACTCTTTTTTTTGAAATTGAAGTATAGTCAGTGTACAATGTTGTGTGAATTTCTGGTGTACAGCATGTTTCAGTCATACATACACATACGTATATTCCTTTTTATATTCTTTTTCATTATAGGTTACTACAAGATATTGAATATAGTTTCCTGTGCCATACTGTATAAACTTGTTGTTTATCTATTTTATATATAGTAGTTAGTATCTGCAAATTTCGAACTCCCAATTTATCCCTTCTGACCCCCTTTGCCCTCTGGTTGGTAACCATGAATTTGTTCTCTATGTCTGTGAGTCTGTTTCTGTTTTGTGAATAAGTTCACTTGTGTCTTTTTTTTGTAGATTCCACATAGAAATGATATCATATGGTATTTTTCTTTCTATTTCTGGCTTACTTCACTTAAAATGAAGATATTCAGTGTTGCCGCAAATGCATTATTTT